ACGGCAGAAATTGGTTTACTCAGTGTATGGAGAATGGGGAACATCACCTATCTAATTTGATCTTCAAAACTACGTGAAACAAAACTTTAGGTATGCACCTACATTATAAAAAAAATTCTGATTCATACAATGGGTTTTATTAAGTTTTGAAAAAAGGAAGTTATGCTGCCTCACCCTGTATTATCAGTAAATATTTGATTTTTACCAGTGGTGGCAGTGGGGTACAAATAAAGTTTATTATTATTATAAATGTCCTCCCAGGGAAAATTTCCTCAATGTGATGAGGTCGATTGCCGGAGTTCCCTCCTTTTAGGACACTTCTGCCTCTTCTCAACCATGGAGAGCTATGCGTGACTGCCGGAAATAGTTTTAAATCATGTGATGAGCTCAGTGCCTCTCCATATTTGAATAGAGGACGAAGTGTCCTACGACTGGGAAATGTCTCAGTGCAATAAGGTGGCTAGTCTGCTCGAGTGTTCTGAAGAGAGTTTCAGCTTTCTCAACAAATTCTTCCTCTGTCTCAGTGATTTCAAACAGTCTGCCTTCAGGGAACATCTTCCCCTTCATTTGGCTGTTCAGTTCATCTGTGCTGTTGGCCAAACCTTTCATTACCCTGTACACATTGAAAACACTCAGTGGCATATAGCCAACGTTCTTCCAGTGGCAGCACATTGCAAAAAAGACCAAGAGTGGGTGGACTGGCTGTCATTTGGGGGGAGCTTGTCTATCATTCGTACCAATTTTCCTATTACAAAAGCTGTGAAAATCTCCCAAAGAGTGCCAGAATTTCTCAGCGTGCAGTTTACAAACCAAGGGTCTTAAGTGTAGCTGTTACTCTCATCTGTCCCCGTTTCAAGGATTCTTCAAGGCCATGCATTGAATCATCCTTTCTGATCGGCACACTACAGAATTATAGGAATGAGTTCAATTGGAGTTCAGCCACAGATAATTCTCACCACTATAGCATTGGTCGCCTCTATAAAATGAAGAAGAGATACTCAACAATGGGACAATAGCTTATATGTATTGCTACCCAGGCTGCATATCGGCTCTCACTATTGGCTTATCTTCTGAAGCTTGGCTATCAAGTGTTACCAGCGATCTGACTCATTCCATTGAAATTTATTTATTTATCGTGTCATCAGCAACCATACCATTGTATTACATTTCTAACAGAACAAAACAAACAAGCAGATAAAAAAACACAAATTTTGCAAACTTGGTGGTTGATTAAATCTCCTTTGACCAGGATCTGGCCACTTGGAGTGCCTCTGGTGTTGCCGCAAGAAGGTCCTCCATTGTGCATGTAGCAGGGCTCAGGTTGCATTGCAGCAGGTGGTCTGTGGTTTGCTCTTCTCTGCACTCGCATGTTGTGGATTCAACTTTGTAGCCCCATTTCTTAAGATTGGCTCTGCATCTTGTGGTGCCAGAGCACAGTCTGTTCAGCGCCTTCCAAGTTGCCCAGTCTTCTATGTGCCCAGGGGGGAGTCTCTCATCTGGTATCAACCACGAATTGAGGTGCTGGGTTTGAGCCTGCCACTTTTGGACTCTCGCTTGCTGGGGTGTTTCAGCGAGTGTCTCTGTAGATCTAAGAAAACTATTTCTTGATTTAAGTCGTTGATGTGCTGGCTGATACCCAAACAAGGGATGAGCTGGAGATGTCACTGCCTTGGTCCTTTCACCATTGGCTGCTACTTCCCGGTGGATGTCAGGTGGTGCAATACCAGCTAAGCAGTGTAATTTCTCCAGTGGTGTAGGGCGCAGACACCCTGTGATAATGCAGCATGTCTCATTAAGGGCCACATCCACTGTTTTAGTGTGGTGAGATGTGTTCCACACTGGGCATGCGTACTCAGCAGCAGAGTAGCATAGCGCAAGGACAGATGTCTTCACTGTGTCTGGTTGTGATCCCCAAGTTGTGCCAGTCAGCTTGCGTATGATATTGTTTCTAGCACCCACTTTTTGCTTGATGTTCAGGCAGTGCTTCTTGTAGGTCAGAGTACGTTCCAGAGTGACTCCCAGGTATTTGGGTGTGCTGCAATGCTCCAGTGGGATTCCTTCCCAGGTAATCCTCAGAGCTCGGGATGCTTGTTTGTTCTTAAGGTGAAAGGCACATGTCTGTGTTTTAGATAGATTAGGGATTAGTTGGTTTTCCCTGTAATAGGCAGTAAGAGCACCTAGAGCTTCGGAGAGCTTCTGTTCAACCATCTCAAAGCTCCCTGCTTGAGCGGTAATGGCACGATCATCTGCATAGATGAAACTCTCTGTCCATTTAAATGAATATGGTTCACTACTATGCTATGCATTTCACTGACTGAACCATGGCAATGCCATGGAATGAATGGGACTCTTTCAACTTCTCAGAGGTGCACTGCCATCAAAAGTAACCTAAAGCCATCAAGGTAAAGTGACTACTTTGGTGTAATTGCTGTAGCCGGTATCCTTCTGGGGTGCCTTGTGGGGATGGGTCTTGGAGGTACTGTTCTCCAGTCCTTCCTGGAGGGTTGTACCCAAGAAGGTGTTGCTGGGGGACTCCTGCTCGGCCCCACAGCCATTGTCCTGTGGGGTCCCGCAGGGCTCAGCATTGTCCCCCATGTTGTTTAGCATCTATATGAAGCCATTGGGTGAGATCATCCGGAGTTTTGGAGTTCAATGCCATCTGTACGCAGATGACATCCAACTCTATCACTCATTTCCACCAGATGCTAAGGAGACTGTCCAAGTCCTGAACCGGTACCTGGCCGCTGTAATGGTCTGGATGAGGGCAAGCAAATTGAAGTTGAATCCAAACAAGACAGAGGTCCTCCTGGTCAGTCGCAAGCCTGAACAGGGTATAGGGTCGCAACCTGTGCTGGATGGGGTCACACTCCCCTTGAAGGCATAGGTTCACAGCTTGGGAGTTCTCCTGGATTCATCACTGAGCCTGGAATTCCAGGTTGAAGCGGTGACCAGGGGAGCATTCGCACAATTAAAACTTGTGCGCCAGCTGCGCCCATACCTTGGGAAGTCAGACTTGGCCACGGTGGTCCATGCTCTCGTTACATCTAGGATAGACTACTGCAACGCACTCTACGTGGGGTTGCCTTTGAAGACTGCTCAGAAGCTTCTAATAGAGAGGCAGCCAGGTTAATAACTGGGGCGGCATACAGGGAGCATACAACTCCCATGTTACGCAAGCTCCACTGGCTGCCAGTTTGCTACCAGGCACAATTTAAAGTGCTGGCTTTAGCCTATAAAGCCCTAAACGGCCCCGACCCAACTTACCTGTCCGAACGCATCTCCCCTTATGAACCATCACGGAGATTAAGGTCCTCTGGGGAGGCCCTGCTTTCCATCTTGCCATTGTCACAGGCACAATTGGTGGGGACAAGAGACAGGGACTTTTCGGTGATTGGAACTCCCTTCCTGGTGAGATCAGGTCGGGCCCCTCCCTCCTGTCCTTTAGAACGATGGTAAAAATTTGGCTGTGTGACCAAGCTTTCGGGACAGGGCAATGAAGCAGCAGTGGGAAAGAGGACAGGGCTGATTGGATTTGATGTGGATGTCTAGGACAGTTTTAAATGAAGATGGCAAGATCCCTGAAAAGAGATTTCTCAGCTACTCTTCATTCAATAATTATTCTCTACTTTGGTATGGAAAGCCAGGTCTTGAATCTGAACTGCCATGTAAGCCATTTGTCATTTGGCGGACATGGAAATCATGATATCCTATATTTGTTTCAAATAATTTCACTTTAGGATTAATGCTCAGGTTCCCCCAAATCATCAGCCTTGGGGTCTTTAAGACAAATGGGACTATTAGGTAAAGAGATGGTCCATCGCCTTTTTCACATTCCGTCCCCCAAATCAGGTACAGACATTCAAATCTGTTGAGGGAGACTTGGTCAATTATTTATTTATTTATTTACTTTGCTTATATACCGCTGTTCTCAGCCCGGGGGCGACTCACAGCGGTGTACAACATAGAAAGAACAAGGTTCAAAATTCAAGACACAATCTAAAATATCAATCTAGCAATAACCAAAAACATCATCATCAAAAATATCAACAACATCAATAATACAAAAAGCCATTCCACGTCGTCTCATCGTTTAAATCACAATCCAGTATCATTTTCCGTTGTTCCATTCCTGTCGTCATTACCAATTATTGCACTTCTTATTCGAACCCCTTCGAACGTGGTAAAAAATCATTTTGGATCAGTGTTATGCCCTTCACAACTTCTGAGCTGATGTTCATACTGTACCTGACAGTACTGATAGGAGGAAGAGGTCTGAAAGAAGAAAATGGAACCATTTTCATGGGGGAAACCAGGCATGTAGCCCGGGGGGGGGGGGGCTTGAGGGGGCTTGAGCCCCCCCCCCCGAAATTCTCATGGTGGTTCGCGAAAAGGCCTTACTGGTGCATTATTTAAACTGTTATGTTTATTCATATCATGATCTGATCACCATACTCAATATATCCCATATGCATGGGGGTATTGGGGTAATGATACAAAAGGTTTGCTAGGGCTGACCCTCTTTCACTCAGACTCAGCCGCCCCCCCCGAAACTCACCCCCCCGAACCCCCCCTGAAAAAAATTCAGGGCCCCCCGAAACAAAATCCTGGCTACGGGCCTGAGGGAAACTATCCCTAAATCTGCTTTGCTCCTTATGGTAGCAAGGATTATCTATGAACAAGCAAGACGGGCTGCTTCTGCAGAAAACCACTTGGAAAAACATGTCATTATGTTTGGTTTACAGCTTTTTTTCTCTTTATGTTTTGTGTATATTGTTTATATGCTTATATGTTTTATACTTTAATGCTATGTTGTTTATTTTATTTCAATTTGTATCTTATTTTATTGTAATCTGTTGTTTGGGCTTGGCGCCCCGAGTCTCTGTTGGGGGAGATGGTGGCAGGGTATCAATAAAGTTTATTATTATTATTATTATTATTATTATTATTATTATTATTATGTAAGATGGATGTAGTAACACACCTCACCATTGCCTTTTCAGCTCTCTCTTGTGGAGTGCCCAAAGCTCCGAAAAATGGCGTGGTTTTCGGCAAGGAGTACACTGTTGGCACCAAAGCAGTCTACCAATGCAAGCAAGGCTTTCACCTCCAGAGCCAGAACATTTCTACCATTGAGTGCCTTCCAAATGGTCAATGGAGTAATGGCAACAATCCTCTTCCGTGCGTGGGTGAGTGGCCTGGACCACCTTTGGTCGCTTTTCTTCTTTATTTTCTTTTTGGTGTTGTCGTGTTTGTTTAAAATAGATATCCAGAACTATTTAAAGATGTAAAAATAGCCTTGCCGATTGGACTTAGTTGGACAGTCTGATGCCTTCAGGGAAGATATGTGCAAAGCATGAAGGCCTCATCTGTCCTCTGTAACAAGGATGTAAATCCTTGACCATTTCAGCCTCACTTGAAGGGATGAGTAATTAGGGTAGTTTTTCCCCATTTTGAGAGATAATAAATATTTGCCTGAAGTATTCTCCATGTATTCGAGTATCTGAAAGTGTTGTGAAGGATTTGTGAAGCAAAAACACAACTTTCTTTGCACAAAAACCTGTTTTTTTTTTCACAGAATAAATTAACCACTGTTATGTTCAATCATTTGCACAAGGGAAATGATTGAATGTCATTCCTTTGCTGACTCTGAAAAAAGTGCATCTGGGTCTATGAAGACCCAACTATGAGTAGTGCATCTGCTAATCATAGAATCATAGAATAATTGAGTTGGAAGAGACCTCGTGGGCCATCCAGTCCAACCCCTTTCTGCCAAGAAGCAGAAAAATCATCTTCAAATCACCCCCGACAGATGGCCATCCAGGATCTGCTTAAAAGTCTCAAAAGAAGAAGCCTCCACCATACTCTAGGGCAGAGAGTTCCACTGCTGAACAGCCCTCACGGTCAGGAAATTCTTCCTAGTGTTCAGATACTTGATCATTTTAGTCACTGCATAAATAGGAGTCTAGTGTCTAGATCCAGGGAAGCCTTGCTATCCCTCTATTCTACCTTGGTCAGACCACATTTGGAATACTGTGTCCATTTCCAGGCCCCACAATTGAAGGGAGATGTTGACAAGCTGGAATAAGTCCAGAGGAGGGCGACTAAAATGATCAAGGGTCTGGAGTACAAACTACTATGAGGAGCGGCTTAAGGAGCTGGGCATGTTTAGCCTGAAGAAGAGAAGGATGATAGGAGATATGATAGCCATGTATAAATATGTGAGATGAAGTCACAGGGAGGAGGGAGCAAGCTTGTTTTCTGCTTCCCTGGAGACTAGGACGAGGAACAATGGCTTCAAACTACAAGAAAGAAGATTCCATCTGAACATGAGGAAGAACTTCCTGACTGTGAGAGCTGTTCAGCAGTGGCACTCTCTGCCCCGGAGTGTGGTGGAGGCTCCTTCTTTGGAAGCTTTTAAACAGAGGCTGGATGGCCATCTGTCAGGGGTGATTTGAATGCAATATTCCTGCTTCTTGGCAGGGGTTGGACTGGATGGCCCATGAGGTCTCTTCCAACTCTTTGATTCTATGATTCTATGGAATCCTTTCCTGTAGTTTGAAGCCATTGTTCCACGTCCTTGTCTCCAGGGCAGCAAAAAACAAGCTTGCTCCCTCCTCCCTATGACTTCCCCTCACATATTTATCCATGGCCCTCATCATGTCTCCTCTCAGCCTTCTCTTCTGCAGGCTAAACATGCCCAACTCTTGTAGCTGCTCCTCACAGGGCTTGTTTTCCAGACCCTTGATCATTTTAGTCGCCTTGCTCTGAACACCTTCCAGCTTGTCAACATCTCCCTTCAATTGTGATCACATTGTGGAATCACATTGTGTCCAGAATTGGACACAATGTGATTCCAGGTGTGGTCTGACCAAGGCTGAATAGAGGGGCAGCAAGACTTCCCTGGATCTAGACACTAGACTCCTATTTATGCAGGCCAAAATCCCATTGGCTTTTTTTGCCAATTGGCTCATGTTTAACTTGTTGTCCACAAGGACTCCAAGATCCTTTTCTTACATCCCCTCTTTTCTTTTAGTAATAAGCAGTTTTATTAGGATGTCTATCAGTCCACTGTATCATAGAAAAAACTAAAAACAAGATATTAAAGCAGGTGCATTGATCACAAAAAGACAGAAAATAACACCTTCACAGTTGGTCTTACTCTTGGACAATGGCATAATTTGATATACACCTACAAGTCTATTTTGATTGGGTACGAAGTTTAAGGTTCTTTAACATGAATTTGTATGCCATATTTCTTGGATAGCATTAAAGTGTTGAGTGGAGGATATAATATTTGAGTTGCAATGTATTACCTTTTGCTACTTGCAAGCAACCAGCTTTGAGGTCAAGTAAGAACTGTTTTTGCACTTCCAGTTGCTTCTTCATTTTAGCTTCTTTTTTTTCCTTTGGTAGTCTCCCTGTCTCTGCTGTCAAAGTGCAACATAGTAGTGGAACCATGAAGTCGAAAAACTCATGCATCCATTTTGCCATACTTCTAAAATGACCAGTCTCCATTACAGTCAACCCTCCACATCTGCAGCTCTAACTTTTGTGGGTTTGCAGATTAATAATAATAATAATAATAATAATAATAATAATAATAATACTTTATTTGTACCCCCCTACCATCTCCCCAAGGGACTCGGTGCGGCTTACATGAGGCCGAGCCCACAATACAACAATAAACAATAACAACAATAATACAAAACAATAAATAACTCATAAGCAAAAATAAGCAATAAACATTAACAGTAACACGACTCATTTAAAAACCTATGGCGGGCCAAATGTAATAATTAATTGTTTTAAAAAATAATGCTGGGCATGACAAGGTGACATAGAACTGAGATAGAAGTTTTTGGAAAGGGATGAGTGTGCAGACAATCTTAAATCACTAATAAAGAGTGTTTAGAGACATATTGCTGGGAGTTTCCTTATTCTGGGAAGGCACACTGAAACAACCACGTTTTCAGGCTCCTCCTAAAGACTGATTAAAAGATTATCTCGAGGTCCTGCAGGGCAATAATGTGGTCAGCTTCTGCCAGAGGTTGACTGTAGAAGCATCCTGGAAGACCTACAGATTTTTAGAGAGAACGTTTCTCTAGAAATCTGTAGGCCTCCCAGCATGGTTCTATAGTCAACTTCTGATGGAAATTATCCTGGAGGATCTAGAGATTCTTAGAGAGATATTCCCTTAGGTCAGTGTTTCTCAACCTTGCTAATGCTGCAACCACTTAATACAGTTCATGTTGTGTTGATCCCCAACCATAAAATTATTTTTGTTGCTACTTCATAACTGTAATGTTGCTACTGTTATGAATCGTAATGTCAAGATCTGATATGCAGGATGTATATATCACTGTAGAAAATTTGGCACAAATGCCCAATACGCCTGGTGGGGTTGGGAGAGGATTGATTGAATGCTGGTGGGGTTGGAAGGGGGTTGATTGTGTCATTTGGGAGTTGTAGTTAACCTACAATCAAAGAGCATTCTGAACTCTAACAATGATGGAATTGAACTGATCTTGGCACATAGAACACCCATAACCAAATACTGGAAGGGTTTGGTGGGCATTGACCTTGAGCTTTGGAGTTGTAGTTCACCTACATCCAGAGAGCACTGTGGACTCAAGCAATGATGGATCTGAACCAAACTTGGCACAAATACCCAGTATGCCCAAATTTGAATACTTCTCTAGAAGTTTGGGCAAAATAGACCTTGACATTTGGGAGTTGCATTTGTTGAGATTTATAGTTCATCTACAATCAAAGAGCATTCTGAACCCCATCAACGAGGAAATTGGGCCAAAATTCCAACATAGAACTTCCATGGCCAATAGAAAATAGTCTGTTTTCTGATGGTCTTTGGCTACCCCTCTGACACTCCCACATGACCCCCCAGGGGTCCCAACCCTCAGGTTGAAAAACTCTGCCCTAGGTTAAGAAAAATAAAAAGGGGTTTTAAAAAAGGTTGTAAAAAAGGGGGGGAGGAGAAGTAAATTAAGACTTAAATATTACAATGAACAATTTTGTATTTTGAGACCACCACAAAGAAGTAGATGGAAGTCCAATTGTAGATACATGTTTTATTTTTCTTTCTATTTTTTCTATTCTTATATAATTTTTTCACATACCGTATATACTCGAGTATAAGCCGACCCGAATATAAGCCAAAGCACCTAATTTTAACACGGAAAACTGGTAAAACATAATGATTCGAGTATAAGCCGAGGGTGAAAAATGAAGCCGCTACTGGTAAATTTCAAAATAAAAATAGATAACAATAAAATTCCATAATTGAGGCATCAGGAGGTGAAATGGTGTTGAATATTTACATAAAAATGTAATTTGAGATAAGACTGCCCAACTCTGATTAAATCATTATTCCAACCTTCTTCAATGTAAATGTATTTACGTATCCTTCCAACAATAATAAAGAGAGTAAAAAAATGAATGTAATTATAATAATAATAAAGTAAAATAATGGAAATGCAATAATAACAGCAATAATGGAGTAAAATAATAAATGTAATAATAGAGTAAAATAATAAATGCAATAATAAAGTATAATAAATGTAATAATAATAATCATAATAACAGAGTAAAATACTGTAAATGTAATAAAATAATACATGAAATAAAAATAATACTAATAACAGAATAAAATAATAAATAATCTTGACTCGAGTATAAGCCGAGGGGAGTTTTTTCAGCCTAAAAAAGGGGCTGAAAAACTAGGCTTATACTCGAGTATAATCAGTATATACACATATTTCTCTTTTTTTCTCTTTTTCTTCTTTTTTTGTCTCTATCTTTTCCTGTTTTCTTTCTTCCTTTAGAACATAGTTTCTAACCAGTTCTGTATAAGTATGACTTTAATAAAAAAAATTATTGGAAAAAAAGAAAAAGAACAATTTTGTGTTAATTTTCGCACTTTGGTGGGGGTCCAGTGCCCCTAACTATGAGCACCTTCTTTATAATGGTAATTTGAGGAGGGCTTCTGTTCAACCCAGGGCAACTGTTCCTACAGGTAACATCTTTTTGTTTTCTTCTCTTCACATGGCCGGCATTCAGCCATCGGCTGCCCCGATGTCAGCAGCATTGCCGTGGAACATGGCCGATGGAGGCTGATCTACGAGACGCAGTACCAGTACAATGCACAGCTGATGCTGATCTGTGATCCTGGCTACTACTACACAGGGCACCGGGTCATTCGTTGCCAAACCAATGGGAAGTGGAGCATAGGGGAACCCATGCCAACCTGCAGAAGTAAGCCAGCTGACATCCCATTCAAACTATCAATAAAAGCCCAATGAGACATGAAAAAGGCATGAGATTTACTGTGGCCAACATCTGTGTAACAATTTGTATCATGGTCAGAACTGTGGACCTTCCAGGTGTTGCTACATTGCAACTCCTAGTGATTCTGGATAGCATAACCATTGTGAAATGCTGAAAGTTGCAGAGGTGCACAATTCTCATCCTTAGTTAATACAGAAAAATTCTAATCCTCACATTGTTTAAAGGTAAAAGTTTCCCCCTGACATTCAGTCAGGTCATGTCTGACTCTGAGGTGTGGTGCTTATCTCCATTTCTAAGCCAAAGAGCCAGCATTGTCCGTAGACGCCTCCAAGGTCATGTGGCCAGCATGACTGCATGGAGTGCCGTTCCCTTCCCCTGAAGTGGTACCTGTTGATCTACTCACATTTGCATGTTTTCGAACTGCTAGGTTGGCAGAAGCTGGGGCTAGCAGTGGGAGCTCACCCTGCTCCCCAGATTCGAACCGCCAACCTTTCGGTCAGCAAGTTCAACAGCTCAGTGGTTTAACCCACTGTGCCACTGGGAGCAAATTGTTTGGAATAGTTGAGGAAGATGATCCAGACAAGTATTCTTGGTTCTGGGTCCATCCATACTGAAGAAGTACTTCTGTATGACTACATTTTAACTGCTGTGGCTCCGTTCTGTGAAAATCTGGAAGTAGATTGGTTTTATTGATTATGATGTATAATTGATTGTTTTAATTGTTTTAATTGCTGTTTATATATGTTTTATCTTATTGTTGTGTTGGCATCGAATTGTGCCTTTTGTAAGCCGCCCTGAGTCCCCCCTTGGGGGTTAAGAAGGGCGGGGTAGAAATGCGCGAAATAAATAATAAATAAATTGTAGTTTGAGGAAGCACCAGCATTCTTTGGCAGAGAAGGTTAAAGAATGTGTAAAACTACAACTTCTAAGATCCCATAGCACTGTGTTAATGTGCTATCAAAATGTGTTAATTCTACAGAGTAGATCAGTGTTTCTCAACCTTCCTAATGCCGCAACCCCTTAATACAATTCTTCATGTTATGGTGACCCCCAACCATAAAATTATTTTTGTTGCTACTTCCTAACTGTAATTTGGCTAGTGTTACGAATAGTAATGTAAATATCTGATATGCAGCATGTAACATTTTCATTTGCCACAAATACCCGACATGCCCAAATTTGAATAGAGGTGGAGTTGTATGGGGATTGATGTTGTCATTTGGGAGTTGTAGTAGCTGGGATTTACAGTTCACCTACAATCAAAGAGCATTCTGAACTCCACCAACGATGGAATTGAACCAAACTTGGCACACAGAACTCCCATGACCAACAGAAAATACTAGAAGAGTTTGGTGGGCATTGACCTTGAGTTTTGGAGTTGTAATTCACCTACATCAAGAGAGCACTGTGGACTCAAACAATGATGGATCTGGATCAAACTAGGCACGGATATTCAATATGTCCAAATGTGAACACTGGTGGAATTTGGGGAAAATAGACCTTGACATTTGGGAATTGTTGCTGGGAATTATAGTGAACCTACACTCAAAGAGCATTTTGAACACCACCAACGATAGAATTGGGCCAAACTTCCCACACAGAACCCCCATGACCAACAGAAAATCATGTGTTTTCTGATGGTCTTTGGTGACCCCTCTGACTCCCCCTCATGACCCCCTAGGGGTCCGGACCCCCAGATTGAGAAATGCTGGTGTAGATGGACCCTCAGTCACCGGCTCTTTCTAACCAGCTTGGCAAGTTAGGGCAACTACATCCTATCCAGAACATGGCTGTCTAAGCAGGAAGATACCATAGTTGCATTTCATTTTTAAAAAATCACCGTGGAAAATTGCTTTGAGAAAACGGCCTCCTATCTTGATCAGTGAGGCGACTGTTTTCAAAACACACCAAGGTGTTTAGTCTGTGAGAGAGAGACACACTCACAGCCCGGTAACAAGGGCAACATCTGTGACAGCTGTCTTGTAATTCCTGACAAAAGTGTTGTACTTTTAAGGGCAGCTGTCATGGGAAGTGTTGTTGTTTTCTTCCTTGACTCCTTTTAAAAACTAGGCTTCTGAGAAAATAATGCCTTTCTCACATTTACAAGAGTAGCCTTACCTGGCAGTTTCTCAGTTTTGTGTGACTGGGCAAAAACTGAGTCAATTCCAAAGATGGCAGGATCGATGAAACACTCCCCAACCATCAAGTCGAAACACTTCCTCCCTTTCATAGGTGTTCTATTAGCAAGGTGCCTGCTGGCTTGGTGAAAAGGGACAAGATCTGACACCTTTCAAGTGGAGTATTGCACTCTCCCCATGTAATTCTGCTGGGATACTGCATCTTCTCCCCGCAAAAGGCCAATACCCACTGGTGAATCATAGCCTCATGGCTATTTTGGAATGGAGCAAGAGCATTAGGTGACCACATGGCATCTGGCTTTACTTCTGGAAAGTAGCATCAGCTCTCATCTTCCTCATAGAATCATAGAATCCTAGAGTTGAAAAAGACCTGGTGGGCCATCCAGCTCAACCCCCTGCCAAGAAGCAGGAATTAATATGAGATGCCCTCCAACTTTCCTAATTTGCCAGAGACTATTCCAATTAAGCTTCCACAAACTCTACTTTTTCAGTTACCGTTAAATTTCCCCAGTTCCTCTCTTCTCTTCCCACTTTTCCCTTCTGTGCTCAGTTTACTTTAATTGCTGCAAACTGAGCTCAAAGTGCAACAGTAGATTCAACACAACCCAGCAGAGGGAGCAAAGATCTTGCCCTTCCCTCTGTTAGAGACCCTAAATTGGGTCTTCTTAGGTCCACATCACGGGAGCACGAAAGGAAGGAGACAGTCCCCAAAAAAAGATCAAAAAACAAGGTTTATTTTAGTTTCTTCATGAAGAAGACGGACAGCCTGGCAGCATACGCAGATGCTACCCTTCAAGTGACTGCCGCATCCCCTTGGCTTTTTGTACACCGATATATAACCTCAAGTAAACAAGAACATTTTTTGTCATGGAAAGTACTCTCTTTCCAGCCCCTCTCCCTTGACCTTTTGATGGAAATTACCTTCTTGTACCTGCAGACTCTGCACTTAACCACAACCTTTGAACTTAACCACAATACAACTTCCGTCCTCTACATGTCACATCTAGTTTCTTAAAAAAATTGTCTTACATGTTGCTCCTTTTCTACAGAGAAAGAGTATGTTTCTCTTTTGCTGTTAATTTCATTCAAAGCCCCTAGTTTAGCATTTGCAAATTTCACTCAAAAACCCTTTCACCTCCAGGTTCAAGCAAAATCAAACTGCTGCAGCCTCTCCTAGTTTGTTTATTCTTGCCATCCTGATCTCTCTCTGATATTTCTTGGTCACATGTGTCCCAGTCACCTTTTGTGGGATGAAACATTGGAGTGTCTGTGGGACTAGCAGTCAGAGCTAGGCCCATAAACCTCACCTTGTGAGCAAAATGCTCCTTAAAGATCTCTATCAATCCCTTTTCCCCGAATTACATCAGTTTCATGTTTTACCACTTAGCATCCCAAGACATGATTTGCTTGTTTTATCTCTCCAGTTATATCCTGTGGAGACTTACCTGTGCCACCCAATGGGAACCGGATCGGGACCTTGACCACATATGGAGCGACTGCCATCTTCTCCTGCAACACCGGTTATACCTTGGTGGGCTCCCGTGTCCGAGAATGTATGGCAAATGGCCTTTGGAGTGGTCTGGAAGTGAAGTGCCTAGGTAATATTTTTGGTAATATATCATAGAATGCTTATTTTGAAAATCCCAGAATCCCACCATATTCCTACAATCCACCTTTGTGGTGTATTAGAAATAATATAACAAAAGTGTCCATGTCTTGATTAAGATTAAGCAATGAGCTTCACTACATGGGACTGAGCATCAGTCCCTCTACTTTACAAGATTGTTGTGGAGATATACATGTGAAGGAAAAGAACCCTGTATATCTTTGGTTCAAGCTATATGAAAGACGATCTCCCCCTTTTGTTGTGTGCCTTCAAGTAAAACCATAAGGCAAAATGGTCATGGGTTTGGGGATGGGGGTGAAAGTATGGACCCTTCCACACAGCCATATAACCCAGAATATCAAGGCAGAGAATCCACAATATCTGCTTTGAATGGGATTATCTGAGTCCACACTGCCATATAATCCAGTTCAATATGGATTTTATACAGCTATGTGGAAGCGGCCTGTGTGACCTATCCAAAATCACAAGTGGGTTTCCATGATCAAGCAGGGACTTCAACTCTGATCTCCAGCATCATAGTCCAATGCTCAAACCACCATAACATATATTATTTTTTTATTATGATATTTATATGCCGCCCTTCTCACCATGAAGTGGAGTGGCTTACAAGTTATATGTACATACAATATATTATATTATTAGCATAGTACAATATTAGTATTATATATTGCCGTACTGTACTATACCACTATACTGTAATATTATTATATCATATTATTAGTATTATATTGTATTACATTATAATATTATAACCCTAAACGGTTCTGGCCCAGTCTATCTATCTGAACGCATCTCTCCCTACGAACCCCCCAGGAACTTAAGATCGTCTGGAGAGGCCCTGCTCTCAATCCTACCTGCTTTGCAGGCATGTCTGGCAGGGACGAGAGACAGGGTCTTCTCTGTGGTGGCCCCCCGGGCTGTGGAACTCCCTCCCTAGGGATATTAGATCAGCCCCCTCCCTCCTGACTTTCCGAAAAAGAGTAAAAACTTGGCTCTTCGAGCAAGCATTCGGAAACCCGGAGTAAACAGACAAACTAAAGTTGGAAATTGACCCAGGAATGGCCAAGACAATGTAACTGAAGATTTGAACGAGAGGACATAGTTTCTTTTTAAATTGTTTATTATGCACTGTCGTTTATGTTTAATTGCACTTGATGTTTTTTGCTTTATTAATGTATGCATTTTGTTTCGGCATCCAAATGTACCGACTGTGTATACCACCCTGAGTCGCCTTTGGGCTGAAATGGGCAGGATAGAAATAATGTAAATAAATAAATATTATATGTGTATACAATATATTATATTATTAGCATAGTACAATATTAGCATTATATATTACTATATTGTACTATACCGCTATATTGTAATATTATTAGTGATATTACATGTAATATAAAATAAATAATTATTATATTGTATTATGATTAGTATTATATTGTATTACATTATAAGATTATTATCAATATTATATGTGTATACAATATATTATAATATTAGCACAGCACAATATTAGTATTATATATTACTATATTGTTGCTAGGGGGAGGGGCTCCCAACTGATCACCCAGGAGACATGGTGGAACTCTGTCTTCCTGGCTCTCCTTCTATATAAGAGTCCATTAATGTTCTGAAATGTTCAGGACAGCCCGTTCCCCTTATCTCAGTTCATTGGGTGAGAACATGGAAGAGGACCTTCACCAACCGACTGCCTGATCTGGTCTGAAGTTCCAAAATAGAGGTGTTGTCCCTTTAAACATTTTACTGCTGTTTTTGTTAGTAGTACAGTGAAGTGTTTTTTAAATAGTTAAGTGGCATTTTAACGGTATAATTAATTTAATTTATCTGTTAATATGTATAATTTATTATGTTTCTAAGCATTATAATTATGGCTGAAGCTGCCCGGCGGCCCAATCCTGGGAGAAAGGCAGCATGTAAATTAAATCAGATCAATTAAGCAGTCAATCAGTAAAGAACCCAGGGCTTCGAGCAGTAGATTATTCACTTAAAACTTAAAAGTTGGTTAATCTGTGGAATCGAGGTTTAATCCACTCCACTCTGTGGGTTGCGGGTGGCATTGCCAGCTTTTCAAAAATTCAATCAGGAATAATGTGAGCAAAGATATGGAGAAAGGTGAAAGAAGTTATGCGTGTTCAAATTGGTAAAGAGAAGACTAGAGGGTCATGGGATTTCCCTGATTAATAATAATAATAATTTTAATAATAATTAAATACACCGCCCACCAAAAATATTCTTAGTGTCTTAGATTTTAGGCCTGTTTCTGGGGTTCTTTGGGGCTCTGATTCAAAAAATTGATTCAGATACATGCATCAGCTCTAGGTTTTTAGATAGGGTTATCATGGTGTTTTAGGAGCAGACAGATGGTGACTGATAGATGGTATATTTTCTTTCGCTCACAAACTAGTGCTGATGGAGGGAAATTGGTGCCATTTTTGGAATCAGCAGATCTAATATACCTGGAAACGAGGCTAACATTTGAGCCACTAAAATGTATGCTGGCAAGTGATATCGAAAGGCTGAATGGTGAAAGATTTCTCCTCTGCTGCCCCAGAGGATCAAATAGTTTGAAGTTAAAGGAGGATATTTTTCAACTAAACATTAGAAGCAACATCTTGATGGGAAGAACTGTTAGGCAGTGGAATCAAAGGTGTGTGGCGTAATTTAAAATTAAACCACATGTAGTTCCTGTTTGATCAGCCCACACAGTGTCTTGCCAGAGAAAGAAAATATGCCACGCAGATGATCAGCAAAGAACAAGTAGTTTACTCTTCGCAGTTTAGAACAACATATGTACAATATGATCAGTTGCACCAACTCACATAATGTCCTTTTATGAGAGATTTAAAATGGTCTTTCCTTGTCCATATGGATAAACTCCTTCAGCAGCTCATGAAGCAAAAGTACACACCAAACGTCTCTCTCTGCTTCTCTCTTCTTCTCTCTAAACACCTGCATAGCTCAAGCCTGAAAAATGTAACAGTATCCAAAAGTCCCAGGCTCAGCCAGTTCCCCGGTCACAGCCTGACCAATCAGCTTTGTGCGACTTATTTTACAGTTAACACATACACTAACTGATTTCTGGCCTCATTTACTTGTCTAAACGTATCTCCCGCTATGATCCACCTAGGGCCCTAAGATCATCTGAGGAGACCATGCTCATTGTTTCCCCATTGTCACAATCACGTGTGGCAGGGACAAGGGACAGCTGCTTTTCTGTGGTGGCCCCCAGGCTATGGAACTCCCTCCCGAGTGCAATTAGATCTGCTGCATCCCTCTTGACCTTCCAGAAACAAGTAAAATCCTGGCTATGGGATCAGGCCTTTTGAGAATAGGCTGACCTACTGACGTGTTGACTTATTTATAACTGATGGACTGCCCTTGGATAATGATTTAAATCGGTGACCACTGACTATTTGTTGTCTGTTTTTATATTGTTTATATGGTTTTATACCGATTATACTATTTTATATTGTTGTTACTATTACATTGCTGTTAATTGTATATTTATGTTTTGATGTGGGTGCCATGGGGTGCCACTTTGTTAGCTGTCCTGAGTCCCTCTGCAGAGGTTGAGAAAGGACGGGATATAAAAGCCCTAAATAAATAAAATAAATAAAATTTCTTACATGCTCCAAGATAGAGGGGTCTCCATCTCAGGACACCTTCAAAGAGAAGTTGGGCAGATACCTGCTGGGAATGCTCCACCTGGAGATCTTGCATTGAGCAGAAGGTTGGACTCTGTGTCCCATGAGACCCTTTCCAGCTTTATGAATCAATGATTCAGTGATATGTTGGCTGGCAATTAGGATGCATAGACTTACTCCACCTTTTGATGCCTTTTTTGTTGATTTGTTCTTTCAATGCTTGCAAATTACAGACATTTGATGAGGGTCCCCTCTTTCTTTAGATCTTCTTGCCTACAAGGCTCATTTGGACTGCAGATTCTTGTCCCCAGAGCTTGCCTACAGAAAAAGCAGGCTCCTCCTTGGATTGCTTTTGAATGCATACATTTATCTCACATTTAAAAAATGATATATTTGCTTCCGCCAGAGGTTAACATACAGTCAAATTAGAGGAGTTAGCAAATTCCTAGAGGGGAGACCTCCTGAGAAATTTTCTCGGTCGTTCAACATGATTCTACAGTAACTTCCAGGAGAAACTCTTCATTTTAATAGGGTTCTCTGTAATCCACAGTTTCTGGTTTCCATGATTAATTGAGGAATATATCCCCCATAGATACGGGGGTTGTATCTGTGTACTGTGATTAAACGGCATCAAAGAGAAACTCAGGACTCAATAGAGATGATTCCGAAGGAGCATATTCTACATTCAGAAAAAAAAGACCTTTGCCTCATTTTTTTTCTGGTTTGGATTCCCATCCAGCGGGTCATTGTGGCGAACCAGATCCCATTGTCAACGGCCAGATAAATGGTGAGAACTTCAACTACCGAGGCAGCGTGGTGTATCAGTGCAACCCTGGCTTCCGTCTCATTGGGATGTCTGTCCGGATCTGCCAGCAAGACCACCACTGGTCCGGAAAGACTCCTGTCTGTGTGCGTAAGTATGTTGCCGTCTTTATTACAGTGTTGTACGTAGCAAGAACTGTAGGACTTTATATAAAAGTTCAAAGGGAATATAGGTTGAATGCTCCATGGAAGACGTACCATCAGAAAGGAAGTTCATCCTCTTTGAAAATGTATGTATGTATTTACGTATGTATGTATGTATATTTGTGTGTTGATGACTATTTGTTCCTCTTGAATGACATGAATTAAGAAAAATGTATCTTCTTCCTGTTGGAGAAGATGTAAACAGAGGTGAACACGAATTCTTCAATGACAATAATAATAATAATAATAACACTTTATTTGTACCCCGCTACCATCTCCCCAAGGGACTCGGTGCGGCTTACATGAGGCCGAGCCCACAACACAGTAATAACAAGCAATAACAACAATAATACAAGCAGTAAATAAAACTCATAACAGCAAATAAACAATAAACATTAGCAATAGCATGACGACATTTAAAAACTTATGGCTGGGCCAAATGTAATAATTTAAAATTTAAAATACACTGGACATGGCAGGTAAAATATGATTAGGGTGGATTTCCGAGAAGTGATAGGTGTGCAAAAACAATCCTAGGTCATTAATAAAGTGCATTTAAGGACAGATTGCTAGGAGTTTCTTATTCTGGGAAGACAGATTGGAATAACCACGTTTTCAGACTCCTCCTAAAGACTGCCAAGGTTGGGGCATGCCTAATGTCCTTAGGGAGTGAATTCCAGAGACGAGGGGCCACCACCGAGAAGGCCCTCTCCCTCGTCCTCACCAGTCGCACCTGCGACAGAGGTGGGAGCGCAAGCAGGGCCTCTCCAGATGATCGGAGAGATTGTGTGGGTTTGTACACAGAAATGCGGTCACGCAGGTAGGCGGGTCCCAAACCGTTTAGGGCTTTGTAGGTAAGAACCTGCACCTTGAATTGGGTCCGGTAAATGAACGGCAGCCAGTGGAGCTCCTTAAACAGAAGGATGTGCATCTACACTGTAGAACTGATGCTGTTTGACACCACTTTAATTGTATAGATGCATTCTGTGTCATCCCCAAAATAAAAGATTTGTAAGAACATAATAGATATGTTCACACTCCAGCATATTGACAATTATTGCAGGCTATTATTACAAATATCAATAATACCAATAATAATGACTACTGACTTCAGAAAAGTCTCATCAATGATATTACCAGTTACAGAAATGGTTCTAACTAAGGGGTGGAAACATGCTGAACAAAGTATTACCCACAGACCATGTGTGGCCTTGGGACCCCAGTGTGCACCCCAATGTGCACCCCAATGTGTCCCAATTGAAGACCTTCAGAGGGAGAAATTAGAACAGACTTGTTTACTGATATACAGTGTCTGTTTGTTTCATTTGTAAACAATATCCCAATACTGCTGAGGTTTCAGAGTAAATATTGGAAAGATTTGTTATGGGATCTTTGTTCATTTACATTTTTGATTCAAGATTATTCACCCGAAAACAAGAAAAGAAAAATCTGTTTATTCCATGCATGCAAGCAAAGCAATTCTATCTCTCAGAGGGTTCCTTTGGAATGTAATGTTTCTTGTCATATGGTGGTGCATTAATATTACTTATTTTGTGTTGGTGTTAGAAGTAAACAACTAAAAATTATATTTAAAAATAAAAGAAAGGGGAAGGGGGAGCTTTTCTATATTGACATATGGGGAAGTTCTGTTTTGAAATATCAAACTAGTAGTAGATGGGTGACTGTGGTGTGATTGGAGCAATGAATCTGTCCTAGGTTTTAGTCTGAACCTTAAAGGAGTGATCCCCAAAATAGGTTCAGCCCTTGGGCAGCAGTTTTTAAAATTCAGACAAAAAGTGGGCTGTTTCCCACAGTAAAAAGCTCAACCTGTGAGCACCGTTTTTGGGAATGAAGACCAAAAATTACATCCCATTTATGATATGCAGTAAAGTTGATTTGGAGTTACGATTGTTGCAATACTGTCAAGATTTTGACCAAGTAGCAGTGATGAAAATGGAATCTGTTCCATATTCAGAATCAGAAGTAATTGATACAAAATTCTGACCTGTATTTTTTAAGCTTCATAATGAGACACTTTGGGACCCATATTGGGGGAAAATCAAGATATAAAAGATATTGCCCGTACCTTGGGAAGTCTGATTTGGCCACGGTGGTCCATGCTCTTGTTACATCCCGATTAGACTACTGCAATGCACTCTACATGGGGCTGCCTTTGAAGGCTGCCTGGAAGCTTCAATTAGTCCAACAGTCAGCAGCCAGATTGCTCACCAGAGGGAGCATACAATTCCTCTGTTACGCCAGCTCCACTGGTTGCCGATCTGCTTCCGAGCACAATTCGAAGTGCTGGTTTTAAACTTTAAAGCTCTAAACAGTTCTGACCTAGACTAAATGTCCGAACGTATCTCCTATTACGAATCATCACAAAGTTTAGCATCATCTGGAGAGGCCCTGCTCTCAATCCCACCACTGTCACAAACGTGATTGGATTGATGGAGACGAGAGACAAGGCCTTCTCAACAGTAGCTCCCCGCCTGTGGAACTCCCTCCCCAAAGACGTCAGACTGGCCACCGCTCTCCTGTACTTTAGAAGGAAACTCAAGACTTGGCTGTGGGACCTTATTTATTTATTTATTTATTTACTTTATTTGTATACCACTCTTCTCAGCCCTTAGGCGACTCAGAGCGGTTTACAACAATTTAGGTATACACAATACAAAATCATTAAGCATTTAAAAGCAATAGCACCACAAATCATTAAACATCAATATCAATACATCACTACATCAGAATAACAAATCCATCAGGTCTCATCAATGAAATCAGAATCCAAACTCGTTATCCGATATTCCGTGTTCCGATAGTCAGTCAATCAATCACACTGCTTAGTCGAATGTCTGTTCAAACAGCCAGGTCTTTACTTTCCTCCGGAATGCCAGCAGGGAGGGGGTCGATTTAATATCTGCAGGAAGGGTGTTCCACAGCCGAGGGGCCACCACTGAGAAGGCCCTGTCTCTCGTCCCCGCCAGGCGTGCTTGTGAAGCCGGTGGGATCGAGAGCAGGGCCTCCCTAGACGATTTTAATGTCCTTGCATTTGACCATTGAACAGCAGCTTGTATGAAGAAGACATAAGCAATTTCGAAGTGACAATGAATTGACCCAGACCCGGATTTTAATTGGCGTGTTTTAACAACTGTTCATTTAATGTTTTGTTTTAATGAATTTGTTGATTGTTCTTATCATTATGATGGCACAGAATGGTGTTTGCCCTGAGTCCCCCTTCAGGGGTGAGAAGGGCAGGATACAAGTATATGAAATAAATAAATAAAAAATAATAAACTAGCAGTACTATTTTTTTAAGAAGTAGAAGATCAGTGATTACCAAAACCACAATGGAATAATGCGTCTCTCTCTGTGTGCGTGTATTTATTTACTGCCAGGAGGAGAATAGGGAGAAGGATCAGGGGGAGAATTGGGGCAGTCGCCGTGTGTCCCGCCTTCTTCCCAGCATGAGGATGGAGCGAGCAGCCCCGTCCTTATGCTGGAAGAACAACCTGAGGATGACCCATGCCCTGCCCTCTCCTGGGCCACCCTGCGTATGCCCGGCCCCCCTCCCTCCTGGCCCGGCCCTCCCGACCGGGTCCGCAGTGCAGCTCTAAGGCACAAAAGTTTGCCTGTGCCTAGTGTAGACTGTCAAATCTTGAGAGATCTGATTCAAGTCTCCACTAAGCCATGAAATTTTCTTGATGACCTTGCGCTAGTTACAATTTTTCAACTCAGTATTATTGTGATAATAAAGTAAAGGGAAAAGAGAGCTATATGTACCTCCTTGGATCCCACTCTGGAAGTAAAGCAGCATACAGATGTACCAAATAAACAAAAATACAATAATGTACAATAAACAAAAATACAATAAACAATAATATACAATAAGCAAAAATATAATAATAAAAATACAACCCAATAATAAAACTCATTAGGTGAGATATATATATAGACAGACAGATAGTCAGATATCTCTCTCTCTCTCTCTGTCTACGCACACACACCCCTAATATATATCTGTATCTCTATATCTCTATCTATCTGTCTGTCTATACCATATATCTGTACCATGTGTGTGTGTGTGTGTACATATATGTATGTATGTGAGTGTAATATATATATATATTTGCTTTCTCCCAAAGTAGTAGCTCATGATGAAACTTAAAAATACAGGTCCTATCTATCTATCTATCTATCTATCTATCTATCTATCTATACACATGCACACACACATCTATATATAAATATTGGCTAAATAAGCTCAAATTCAATCCTCAAAATCTGTGATAACATGTCATCTGAAAAGGAGGAAAAGAAGGACAGCATTTTGGCTCATTTGTTTTCTGCTGGGTGTTTCTCAAGGGGAGAAAAGCAAAGAAATGATGGCTTTGACCATTTGCTTTGGAAGTGAACCAGTTTCTGTAAGAAAATAGACATTGGGGCTCAAGAAGTGTCTCCAAGCTCTCTTGTTTTAATGAATCGGCACAGCTTTGTTGAGTAATAATTTGTCTTTCTTCCTGCAGCCATAACCTGTGGCCACCCAGGCAATCCAGCCAACGGCCTGACACAAGGCACCCAGTTCAACCTGAATGATGTGGCCAAGTTTGTGTGCAACACAGGGTACCGCCTGGAAGGGGCCTCCAAGTCCCAGTGCCTAACCAACGGGCAATGGAGCAATGCCCTGCCCATTTGCCGCAGTAAGTCCCTCCCTCTTGGTCCCCATTATTTTGGTCAATGTATTGGAGAGTATATTAGAGAAGTATATGCAACTGCCAGCCCTGAGACTGCAGCAGTGCCACTTTCCCTTGAGAATGGAAGGGGTCCTGACCATGGTGGATATTGGCAACTCTTTCCTTTCTGTTCAATTGCAGCATGTTTGGAAAAGTGAGAAGGGAGCATATTATAAGAAGTATGTAAATGATACTTGCAACTGATCTCAACGTCAAAGAGAAAAGTGATCTCAACAAATTAGGAGAAAATTGTTCCTTCCAGGTTTCTGAAATAAATATACAAGCAGTCCCTTAGTTACAAACATCAGATTTACAAACAACTCATGGTTAAGAACAGGTCTGAGACAACAGGAAATGAGAGAATCTACCCCTCAGAAGGGAGAGTCACTCCTGGAAGAGTTATTATAATGGGGAAAACTCTAGCTACATAATACATTAAAAATGTACCTATTCTTACTTACATAGAAATTCAACTTAAGAAAAAATCTACATATTTATTTATTTACAACATTAATATCCCACCCTCTTTCACCCCGAAGAGAAGTCAGAGTGGATTACAAGTTATATGTACATACAATATATTATTACCATAGCACAATATTAGTGTTATGTATTACTATATTGTACTATACCACTATACTGCAATATTATTTATTTATTTATTTATATCATTTTTACCCCGCCCATATCAACCCAAAGGCGACTCAGGGCGGCGAACAATCGGCACAATTCGATGCCACATATAAAATACATACATCAATAAAAATAAAAATAAAACATCACATTACCTTATATCTAAAAACATCAAACCAGTGAACAATCAAAAATAATTAGTATTATTACATGTAATATAAGATAAATAATTGTTATATTATTGAATTATTATTATATTGTATTACAATATTATGGTCAATATTATATGTACATACAATATATTATAATTATTTGCATAGCACAATATTAGTATTATATATTACTATATTATACTATGCAATATTATGAGTAATATTACATGTAATACATAATATACAATTATTACAAGCATTATTATTAGTATTATATTACATTATAATATTATTATAAATATTATATGTATATACATCATATTATATTATTATATTATTAGCACAGCACAATATTAGTATTATATATTACTATATTGTTGCTGGGGGGCGGGGCTCCCAGCTGATAACCCAGGACACATGGTGGAACAGTCTTCCTGGCTCCCCTTCTTCAGAACCTACCTTGTTCATAACTTGGGGATAGCCTGTATAGTATGCCTCCCCAATCCACAGGGTATGCACTCCTATCTTACTATGGATAATAGCAAACCCTATTGAATTGAATGAAAGCCACTAGAAGTGGAAATAGAGCAGTGGTTCTCAACCTTCCTAATGTCGCGACCCCTTAATACAGCGCCTCACAACCATAAAATTATTATTATTGCTACTTCCTGATTGTAATTGTGTTACTGTTATGAATCATAATGTAAATATCTGAAATGCAGGATGTATTTTCATTCACTGGACCATGCCGTGAGCGCAGCCCTCCGCCTCGCCCCCTTCCGAACTTGGAAAGGCGCAGGGGTCAGGAAGAAAGGCTACGCTCATGGCAAGGCCATGAGGGCAGCCCTCCGCCTCCCCCCCACACCCTTCCACACTCCGAAAGGCGCGGGGGGCAAGGGTCGGCAGCCATTTTGATGGGGCGGGGCCAACCAAGGCAGCTTCACGACCCCCCGAAAATGGACCAATGACCCCCCTGGGGGTCGCGACCCCCAGGTTGAGAACCGCTGCAATAGAGTCACAGTGGGTGACCTAGAAAATATTTAGAAAGATACCTGCTTTAGGGGTTTACTAGTTTTATTATATCCTCCATGATGATTCTTGTAAAGTCCTGTGAAAGCATACCATAGAATTGCCTGGAAGACCTAGAATGCTCATTTGGGGGACATGTTTTGTCGGATGTGAGTAAGTCAAACTGTTGGCACAGAGACTGTACTATTCCATTAGCCAGATGAGGTGGCATGACTGTCAATAATTCAATAATTGATGTGTTGTCAAATAACTAATGTCAATAATTCAATAATTGGAATCCATTGTGCAATTAACATGTTAAATTCAAGGATTTTTTGCCCATCTTTTTCTTCATCTTCTCTCTGGCACTAAGTTCCTTTGATGTCTGCATGACACTTTTCCTGAGATGATTTGCAAAAAGCAGGTTGACTTTTTTCATGCCACTATATACCTGTTTGTTAATGTATTTTGCATTGATTGGTTTCATTACTCTCTTGACATTTGAATGGCAGTTGCAGTGCTTTCTGGATCGCGTCTTGTGTGCCGTTGGTTGAAAATCCAGAGATAAAAAAAGGAAATCAGGAAGAGTGCTTACAATACGGCTGACTTGGTTGGTTCCCCATCTAGAATTCTTTTTCAGGGAATGGACATCCAAAAGCTTTCAAAACAGATCTGTGTAATGGAACTTCGAAGTTCACTTCTCGAATTCCCTCTTCCTGCTCCCCTACCCCAATTCAAGCACACCTTCCCTCCTGTATCATCCACCTTTGTATTCCTAGCAAATCTTTCCCCTGCCCCACCAAAAAAAAATCTGGACATCTCTTTGGGGATGAGGTCAAACTCCAATCCTGAAACAATCTCACTGGTGATGCTTATTATACCCTGCTTTTCAGGATTGGGGCCCCTTTTTCCCCAGGATTCAGCCGGTATCTTTCGTGATTTTCACATTGTAAATGAAAATGATGCATTCATTTCAAAACTTCATGGAAAGGAATCCAGATTTTGGAAAAATATGACATAAGGGTTTGATCCTCTTTCCTCTTACTTTAGGTGTCCCCCTCTCCTTTGTGACTACTACACCCTCTAGTTTTTTTCCCCCCGTTTTATTTTATTTATTCTTCCTGTGATTTGCTTGCAGTTGTAAACTGTACTGACCCCGGGCACCTGGATAACAGCGTTCGACAAGTGCAGCCAAGCGGGCCTCACAGATACAGCTACGGAACCACAGTCTCTTATCTGTGCAACCATGGGTATTACTTATTGGGCACCCATGTCCTTACCTGTCAGGGGGATGGCACTTGGGATCGACCCCTCCCAGTGTGTCATTGTAAGTGTTTCCATTTCTTTCAGAGACTGTGTTCCCTACTAATTCGTGCTTTCCATATGTGGGGCTGTTTTTTCCTATCTTTTTCCCCAAGAACTATTTCTCTAACTATTTCTCAGTCATCAGACATCTAGTTTATATAGGAGCCCTATCTGATATGGAGGTGATGCAGTGTTAGTGCTTGATGATGAGAATCAAATCCCTGCTCATCTCACTCCCAACTCAGGAGTAATATCAGCTGAGAAGAACATTCTCATTCCCTAAAGTGAATAGATAGGGTTGAGGAAAGTAGAGTAACAAGTGGAAGGAATTACTTGGAATTATGGTACAGCAGAGTCTCGCTTATCCAACATAAATGGGCGGCAGACCATTGGATAAGCACAAATGTTGGATAATAAGGAGGGATTATGGAAAAGCCTATTGAACATCAAATTACATTGTGATTTTACAAATTAAGCACCAAAACATCATGTTTTACAACAAATCAACAGAATAAGCAGTTCAATACATTATAAAGTTATGTCGTAATTACTGTATTTACAAATTTAGCACCAAAATATTACAATGTATTGAAACAGCTGTGGATCCAGGCAAGAGACAGACTTCCTTGGATAATACAGAACATTGGATGAACGAAGGTTGGATAAGTGAGACTCTACTGTATGTGCTATCTAACGATGGAGCTGAAGCTGTAAATATGCACAATGGGATTTTTATTCATGTTGTTGTGTGCCTTCACGTTGTTGTTGACTTGCAGCAACTCTAAGGCAAACCTATCAAAGCAAGGATTTGGACCCTAGTCTCCTGAAATCCTAATCCAACCTCAAATCACAGCACTAGGGGTGGATGGGCTGAAACAAGGAAGCCACAGCTGCCTTGACTCTGCAAGACCTGAGTGAGACTGTTGAGGAGAGGATGACTTGAAGATCTCTCATTCATAGAGACACCATAAGTTGACATTGACTTGAAAGCAGTGGACAACATAGAAAGCAATAGGAAAAGAGAAAGACCACTTTCCATATATATGGATTCAATCAAGGTAGCCACAATCCTTAGTTTGAAAGACCTGAGTGGGACTGTTGAGAATCAGGTGAACTTGGAGGTCTCTCATTCATGGGGTCACCATAAGTCTAAGTTGACTTGTAGATAGCTAATAACAACCGAATCCATTTTAACCAGTGCTAAAACAAGACTAGGAAAGATTACTGGTTGCACCAACCATTAATTAAATCAAGATTTTAGAAATAACTTCCAGATAAATGTGACTACCCAAGGGGACTGAAGACCTTCATTTTTTATTAAGAGTCTCGCCTTTTTTTAGTTGAAATTTTCCTCTGCCTTCTTCCTTCACGCTAAATAATTTGAGAAGCAAACACTCCTTTTTTCCTTATTTTTTTGCACCTTTTCTCCCGCTCCCTCCCCACTTTATCAGCATGCTTCCTGTTACCTTGCCACTGTGCCAAAGACCATGGGAAATTGATAAGTGAATCCCCTCCTGCTACTGTGACAGAGAAATATTGGACAAGTGACATTAAACAGCTGCTGTTTTCAGAACAAAAGCAAGCGCCAAATCTTGCCTCCAGCAACAGAGCTGCAAAAAATGGGAAGGGACTTGCTTGAACAGAAACACCTAAGAAATGTCAGGGAAAGTAAAGAGAGATTCAGTGAGGCTGGGGGAAAATGGTTGGGTTGGCTGCAGGGGTGAGAGGTGGATTGGGCGAATGCAGTACTACCTGGGACCAAACAGAGAGCACTTAGATAGGTTGTTGGTCAAAATGCACAAAATATTGTATCAGCTTTTTCATCTTAGTCCCTGCTGCCCCGCAAGCTAGCTGGCAATTCTCCCCTTGTTGTGCGATGGGAAGTTGCTGCTGGCTTTGAGAGAAATAAGGTTGAACACTGTGAAAGCCATCCACTGCATGGCTATCAGCCTCCTCCCAGTAGACTCAAATCAAGGAAAGGTTTCATGAGAACCACCACTTCTCTTAACATCCTCCCAGCAACAGCAAGAGAGGATCCCTCAGGGCAGCTAAAGCAAGAAATCCCAATTCTGGGGGGACACGAGGGTCTTCCTCCAGGGGCAAACCAAGAATGGGCAACTTGGAAGTCCCTGAACAGACTCAGAAGTTCAGTGGGTAGATCAAAAGACAACCTGGCAAAATGGCACTACTTAAAAGAATCCTCCACCTTGTGCAACTGTGAAGCAGAACAGACAACTCCACATCTGTATGCTTTTCCGCAATGTCCTGCCTCATGCACAGAGGAAGAATTGTTGGAGGCTACAGACAATGTGAGAAAACATGACAATGCGAGAATACAGACAATGCAAGAGGGAGAAAACATGGAGGCAGTGACAGACTTTATATTTCTAAGTGCAAAGATTACTGCAGATGCAGACTGCAGCCAGGAAATCAGAAGGTGTTTACTTCTTGGGAGGAGAGCAATAACCAATCTCAATAAAATAGTGAAGAGTAGAGACATCACACTGGCAACCAAGATCTGTATAGTTAAAGCAGCGGTATTCCCTGTAGTCACCTACAGATGTGAGAGCTGGACCATAGGGAAGGCTGAGCGAAGGAAGATAGATGCTTTTGAACTGTGGTGCAGGAGGAAAATCCTGAGAGTGCCTTGGACTGCCAGAAAATCCAACCAGTCCATACTTCAGGAAATAAATCCCGACTGCTCATTGGAGGGAAGGATAGTAGAGGCAAAGATGAAGTACTTTGGCCACATCATGAGAAGAAAGGAAAGCTTAAAGAAGACAATTATGCTGGGGAAAATGGAAGGAAAGGGGAAGAGGGGCCGACCAAGGGCAAGATGGATGGATGTTATCCTTGAAGTGACTGGCTTGACCTTGAAGGATCTGGGGGTGGTGATGGCCAACAGGGAGCTCTGGCGTGGGCTGGTCCATGAGGTCATGAAGAGTCGGAAGCAACTGAATGAATCAACACAGACAATGCGGTTGCTGTTGCCCGTTTTTGGTCTAAAATTATTTAGCCACTTGTGCTCCTTCTATTTTTATTAGTTTTATACTAATTTATGCAATGCTTTTGAAACGAAAGAACGAAATCTTAGTTCCAATGCTTGAAGTCTGGAGTTGGGGAAGGACTTGTCTCCTCAAGTGAGTGAAATTTGTAAAAATGAAGACAATGAGATAGTTTTTCCTAGTAACATTTCAATGAGTTAATTTGGAAGTGCATATGGAGACTTATGGAGTAAAGCAAAGGAAGAAATAAAACAATAAGGTGAATATCAAGAAGTGAGAGTCATACAACTTGAGCTTGGAAAACTACTTTAAGGAATTATAGTTAAATCAGAGAGCCAGGGTTGTATAGTAGTTTGAACATTATTCAAAGTCCCATTGTTCCAGGGACAGAAAGTGAGGTGAAATCTTCTGGAGTCCCAAGCACCTGGAGAACCCAAAGGCTGGACACCACTGCTTTAGATGTTGCTGGTTGCTGGCTACATATTCCCTTGACTGTTTTCTAAACCGCCCCTCTCTCTGGGCACTGCTGGATTCACCAGGATCCATGGCTATTCCAGCGGTGTGTCTGATGAGATCACAGGCCTCCATCCACCACTAGAACAGGAAAGTAAAGCTAAATTCCCATTATTAACCAACTGGCTCCATCAGAAACATGTAATAGAATGAGCTGGCACCCCCCATGTTGATAAAAGTCATTCCATGGGGTGACAATATGTCTAATCTTTGCGGGAAATAGAAGCAAGAGATATGATTGCTCTGTCCCAGCAATTCTGAGTTTAAAATACCCTGCTAAAATAGGTGAATTATTGCCTTAGTGAAATCTGGCACACAGGAAATTGTTAATCCTTAAAAGTGCTGTCAGAGCAGCAGGTTTTTAGCTTAGGTGTAATTCCTGGAGGATCAGTTATTAAATTATTTGCCACAGCATGCATTCTGAAGTGTTAGCTCTCAGAGCATCTCTTCGGAAATCTTGGCACAGCCTTGCTCACAGCTCGACGCCAAGATCATGGAGAAACTGAAACCCTCCCAAAGAGAAGGCCCCGTGGGCATGCACGTTCCTTCTCTTTCTTCTTTATTATTAAAAAGGGACGCTGCATGTATTCTACCTTTTGGACCTGTCAAAAAGGAGAAAATGGGTTATAGGGAAGGAAAGACTTCCATGTTTCTGATTCTTCCAATGTTAGGAACCTTTCAAATTGGAACAGATAGCTTGGCCCTTCCATAGCAGGTGCTTACACTGAAGGATGTGTTGTTTTTTTAATGAGCATTTCTGGTCAATATTTGCAACCTGGTTTTGTTCATTTTGTCTGAGACAAACCACAGAGCATAGACGCATTCATCCAAATAAACAGTAAACACCCAGTAGGCTTTTCCACAGTGATTTCATGTGACACAGTGGTGGTTCTTGTTTTTATTTTTTATTTGTTTATTTGTTCCTGGGTTTCCCCTAAACTGGAACTCAAGACACCTTAACAAAGTTATAACTGATGCAGCTTGGAAATGACACCATACGAAAGTTAAGAATACAGCAGAGTCTCACTCATCCAACATAAACAGGTCGGCAGAATGTTGGATAAACAAAAATGTCGGATAATACAGAGCCTTCTACTGTTACCTGTCCGACACGGTGCTAGACACATAGAATACTAACAACAGGGACTCAAAGGGTTAAAGCAACTCCTTGGGGCTAGAGAGGCCCAGCAGGAAGTGCCCGGATGCGGAAGAGGAGCATGGAAATCACAGAGGGAAGGAGGGAGGACGCTTCCCCTTGCAGTCCTGTCTCTTTTCCCCCTTTCCTCCCTCCTCTTCGTCTTGCCTTTTTCACATATTGGGAATGAAGAGAGAGTTGTGTAGCACTCCTTTAATTGAAGAGGAAATGCTGGAGGAAAGGGGGGTGTCGGATAAGAGCATTGCATAAGATGGAATGTCGGATAAGCAAAGATCGGATTAGCGAGACTACCATATATGGTGATATTCTACATTGGCTACTTAGACATCTAATCATCTGCCTCCAGATCACCTTACTAGTTAGCTGCCATATTGAGTGACCAAGGTCTCTTCCATTGCCGATTGCAGTGGAAGATAAGTTTCCAAGCCCATCACCCCAGTGAGAGGGGCTGAAATAAGAAATTATTATAGTTTCTTAAAGGCAACAGAGATCCTTCTTCTGATTGTCAGATTCTTGTTTGCTGGTCAGAGGAGAATGACAACATTATATTTCTTGTGTGCCCTGATCAGCAAATGAGTATGCCTTCTTCACTCAATGCTGCTACTGCATATTAAAGTCTACTGGAATGGGCATTTGCAAAGAATCCAACTCATAGAAAACCACTAGGTGACCTTGGGCAAGTCGGACACATTCAGCCTCAGAAAACCCCATGATGGGTTTCAAGTTAGGATTGCCATAAGTCAGAAAAATTTGAAGGTGCACAACAACAGCCATAGAAACAGCAAGGGAGCCCTCAAAGCAGAAAAAGCATCACTGGCCTCTGAAAAAAGAGTTGTGGGGGTACCATGTGAATTTCTCCCAGAATTGGGGAGGAGCCATTTGCCCTAACTTTTGTCCTAATAGTGAAATGGGCCCATATCAACCTATTCACTGGACTTCAGTGAATTGAATCCCTCCTCCAATCAGCTCCATCTGGGTTTTAGTCTGTTTAAGGGTTTTCTGGAAAGTCACAAACTGGACACCCCCCAAATTTACTGGGGGGAAAGGTCACCTTGGAAATGATTCAATTAACTGAACCCACAGATTCCCAGTAGCCCCACTCCCATTCTACCTTGGAATGTTTGTACTAAAAGATTATCTCTGCATCCACTCAATATTCCTCTCCTCTTTCTTCTTTCAGTGGTCTCCTGTGGCCACCCAGGATCCCCACCTCATGCTCAGATCTCAGGGGATGTCTACACGGTTGGCTCAGTGGTGCGTTACAGCTGCTTGCAAGGGAGGAACTTGATTGGCAACTCCACCCGCATGTGCCAGTTGGACGGGCGCTGGAGTGGGTCTCTGCCTCACTGCTCAGGTGGGACACCTTATAGAATCATAGAATCATAGAATCAAAGAATTGGAAGAGACCTCATGGGCCATCCAGTCCAACCCCCAGCCAAGAAGCAGGAATATTGCATTCAAATCACCCCTTGGCAACATAGTAGAGGTTGATGCCCACAAGGTGGCCCACAACCGAACTCACATCTGCCCCAACTTTTATCATGAAATGTCCTTTTTGTTAGAGAGATTATAGATAGCTAAATATTTATTTAATGTGAAAGATGAGGTCAAACAACATCCGATCTTGGCAAAAGACATTAATGGGGGGGGGGGGCACAAGTTAGGAGCAGCTTCAATTGTTTGCTTTTGGCTAAGCCTACCGGGAAAGGGAAGCTTCTCTCCCTTTTCCTCCTCTGCTTTTGCACAGAGAACTAAGTCTCAGTCATTGAGGCAAGCTGAGATATAAGGGGGGAGATAGGAGAAGAAGAGAGAAACTGGGACATTTTATAAGCAGGCGAAAAAATGAGGTGACAGAGAATTGAGACTCTCCAAGCACTTAAAAGAAAGTTCAGCCAAAGATAGAGCACGTGGGCCAGAGAGGAGGAGAATATGGTGAATATAGACAGGTTCCTTTCAGGAGCCCCCTGCAAATGTCAATTTAAAAGGATGAGATATAACTACAAAGGGGGCAAAAGGGGTCCCCTAAATAAAAGTACTGCTCCATCACATGAAGTTTTTCTTGATACCCAAATTTCTCCAGGGAGTACTTACTTAGGCAGTCCCTCATAGCCCAAGGATGATGATCCTCCAAGTGTAGTGTCTTGGTGGTGGGTCCAGAGTTGGCTGTGGAGCCCTATTCTGGATCCACATGGTTTTCCAGGTGGAAGGCAGTCCCATTCAGGGTTGGCTTGATGCGCCTTCCTCTTGGCACATTTCTCCCTTTCACCCTCCATTCATGCCTCTTCAAATTCTGCAGCATTGCAGGTCACAGCTGACCTCCAGCTAGAGCTCTCAAGGGCCAGGACTTCCCAGTTCTTGATGTCTATGCCACGGTTTTTAAGGTTGGCTTTAAGCCCATATAGAACTTACACTGAAGTGTTGGCATCCCCTGCTGTAGCCTCACACCATTTCATAGACCTTCTGGTACTGGTTTGAATGTTCACAATTTTCAATAAGGCACACCATTTTACAGTGCCATTGTATATAACAAGACATGAGTATCCATGAATTTTGGTATCCATGGGGGACACTGAGGGCCTACTGTATACAGACAGCATACCCAAAATTCACATATCGAGTGTAAAGAACATACTCTTGGGTAGCACTTGAGACAGATGTATTTCTTTTCCTGTCCACCAACATTATGTTTCCCGTTCTTGAGTTGGGAGTATAGTAACTGCTTTGGGAAATGGTGATGAAGCATTCGGACAACGTGGCCAGTCCAGCACAGTTGATGGCATAGGAGCATCGCTTCAATGCTGGTGGTCTTTGCTTCTTCCAGCACGCTGACATTTCTTCATAGAATCATAGAGTTGGAAGAGACCTCATGGGCCATCCAGTCCAACCCCCTGCCAAGAAGCAGAAATATTGCATCTTCTATTGCCGATTGCAGTGGAAGATCCCAAGAGATTTGCAGTATACCATCAACTGTGCTGGACTGGAGATTTGCTCCTATACCATCAACTGTGCTGGACTGGCCACGTTATCCAGGGAAACTGCCAATCATTTGCACCTCAAATTCTTGTATGTGCTACATCCACATTCTCTTGGCAGCTTTGCCTGTCCCTTTTCTTGTGATACCTATTTCTAAATGTTGACATTTGAAGTTGCTACAATATTAGAAATCTGGGGAGTCCAGGAACATTTCACCGGGGCAAAATCCTTATTTTGGAGGGCAAAGGCTCTCATCCACACACACCCCAATTCTTACACCACTGGAAGGGGAAATACAAGGAATGAGCCCTGTCTAGTTTGGGGAGTTTTCTGGGTTTACAAACTTGGCTGGTGGGCTGAAGCCAAGAACAGATGGTGGCGGTTCCAGCTGCCAAAGTGTCAGGCCTTCAAGGTGTCCCCTTGGCCGCCTCATATCCCTCTCAATTCTGAAAGTGAATGAGCTGTTGGCTCATTGGATCCTCTGCTGTGTCCCTTGATTTCCAAATGAAGCCAGAGGTTCTGACTATGTGAGGACAACAGGTGGCTTTCAAGCATCTTGCAATTTTCCGTTGGGAGCAACGCCAAGCCAAGCTGCCGCACCAAACCAAAAGGGAGAGAAGGTGAATACGCAAACAGTGGCAGCTGCTGCTGTGTTCATCTGTCTCAAGTGCTACCCAAGAGTATGTTCTTTACACTCGATATGTGAATTTTGGGTATGCTGTCTGTATACAGTAGGCCCTCAGTGTCCCCCATGGATACCAAAATTCATGGATACTCACGTCTTGTTATATACAATGGCACTGTAAAATGGTGTGCCTTATTGAAAATTGTGAACATTCAAACCAGTACCAGAGGGTCTATGAAATGGTGTGAGGCTACAGCAGGGGATGCCAACACTTCAGTGTAAGTTCTATATGAGGCTTTGGGGGATTTTTGTTCAATTGGTACCACTTTAGCGGAAAGGTAACAGCACTCCATGCTGTCAAGCTGACCACATGACCTAGTAGGTGTCTATGGACAACACCGGCCCTTCGGCTTAGAAATGGCGATGTGCACCACCCCCCAGAGTCAGACACAACTAGACTTAATGTCAGGGGAAACCTTTCCCTTTACCTATCCCCCATTCAGTTGCAATCTGTTATTGATAGTATATTTGCTTTCCTTGTGGCAGGAAGCAACCAAGGGCTGTGTGGTGATCCAGGAATCCCATCTCATGGCATTCGACATGGTGGCGATGAGTTAGGTGTGGAGAGCACCATCTCGTTCAGCTGTGAGCCAGGATACATGCTCCGGGGTTCGCTGCAGAGAGCGTGCCAGGCCAATGGCACATGGAGTGGCACCCAGCCGGAATGTGAAGGTGGGTATGGTTGACAGCCCACCATGAATGTCCCATAGAAAATATTTTTTGATTCCAAACTCTATCTGTATATCTCTCTCCCCTCTCTCACTTCCTTTCTTTCACTCACTCACTCACTCCCTCCTGCCTTCCCCCCAGCCCTGGCTTCTAAATACAGTAGAGTCTTGCTTATCCAGCCTTCGCTCATCCAACGGTTCTGTATTATCCAACGCAGTCTGCCTCCCGCCCAGATCCACATTGCGATGTTTTGGTACTAAATTCATAAATACAGTAATTACTTCATAATATTACCATGTATTGAACTGCTTTTTCTGTTGATTTGTTGTAAAACATGATGTTTTGGTGCTTAATTTATAAAATCGTAACATAATTTGATGTTCAATAGGCTTTTCTTTAATCCCTCATTATTATCCAACATTTTCGCTCATCCAACGTTCTGCTGGCCCGTTTATGTTGGATAAACAAGACTCTATTGTAATAAAACAGGCACAGATAAAAGTTCACATCAGTGAAAACATTGGAAACAAATTAAAATGTAATTAACTATGCATAGAAGAAAAAAACATTTCAGTTAGTTGCAGATATGGACAATGTACATTATTAAAAGCTTTGTTCTCATAAAGTTTTATCCCAGACATGGGCAGTTGAGATCCCACCACCATGTTGCTAGACAGCTGTTCCTCCAGTCCTACTTAGCCCACCACTCCCTTGATTCTTTTCTGTTAATAAAGGCTATCAGCCAGCAGCAGCTGGTGTCTTCCATGCCACTGGGGCAGCAAAGCTACTCTGAATTGTAGTCTGAATTTAGAGGAAGGCTGTCCACAAAAAAAGATTCATTAACTTGGATCACTCATTTTAAAGTTGGAATAAAGCTCAGAGAAGATTCACAATCTCATTGATGTCGAAACTACCAAGCCCCATTGCTGACAATGGCTGGAAGGTCAATTCCTCACACCAGTCTTATGCCATCCATACTGCCAGCTGCCTCTGGGAAACTCTCAAACAAGTTATGGACTTGCTCTGCTGTTTCCCTTTTCCCCATGTACCCAAATGAGCAGTTGCTCAGTGGTGCTTATAACAGATTTTAGAAGCTGTCATTGAAAAGTAACATTAGGGGAGTTAATTAGGTCTTCAGACCTAGATTGTTTCTGAACCTAGAAATTCCATTATTGAATTGTGTATTTGTATATGCCTTCAGGTTACCAGTTGATGCGGTGGTTCATAATCTGTGAGCCGCGGACCACCAGTGGGCCGCGAGGAAGATAATCTGGTCCGCAAGCCTTCCTCTTTATTTATTTTTTATTTATTTTACTAGCTATACCCGCCACGCGTTGATGTGGCCAACCTTCCCTCCCTCTTTCTCTCCTTCCTTTCCTCTTTTTCTTTCCCTTCCTATTTATCTTCTCCTTTCTTCCATCTCTACCTGTTTCTTTCCTCTCTTTCTTTGCTCTTGGTTACATCCTTCCTTCCCTGTATTTTTCCTTTCACTTTTTTATTTACTTCTCTCCTTTCTTGCTTCTTTACCTTTCTTTCTTTTCTTCCTTCTCCCCCCCTCCTTCTCTCCTTCTCCCTTTCCCGCCTTCATTCCTTCCCTCTTTCCCTCCTCTCGTTACTTCTTGACTGTCCCTTCCAACTCTGTTCTGTAAGTCTATTTAATTTGTATTATGTAGTAATATATAATAGTAACATATTATATAGTAATCTATTATATAATCTATATAACAATATACAAAATATTGTATTTATATCTTACATAGAAAGAAGGAAAGGAAGAAGGGAGGAGGGAAGGAGGGAAAGAAGGGAAGGAAGGAAAGGAAAGAAGGAGGGACAGGAAGGAAGGAAAAATGAAGGGAGGAAGAAGGAGGGAAAGGAAGGAGGGGGATGAAGAAAGGAGGGAGGGAAATTAAGGGGAAGGAAATGAAGAAAGAGAAAGAAGGAGGAAAGGAAGGGAGGGAGGAAAGGAAGAAGGGACAGGAAGGAAGGGAAGGAGAGAAAGAAGGAAATGAAGGGGGAGGCACAGAAAGGAGAGGGGAAGGAAAGTAAGGGGAAGGAAGAAAGGGAGGGAGGAAAGAAGAGAAGGGAGTGAGGGAGAGAAGAAGTGGAGTGTGGCAGAGGCAGCTACCTCCTGGTCTGGATGTTAATAGGAGAGAGAGATAAATGTGTGCTCGTGTTGCCGGAGACAACTGAGCAGATAAGGGAGGGAAGAAAGAGTTGGCGAAGAAGGGAACAGTCTCTCTCCCCTCTTCCCTGCCTGCTGCTTCTACCAGGGCATCTTGAAGGAAGAGGAGGCAATGAAAGGGAGGGGGGACAGCCAAGACGAAAAGGCTGCTGCTTCTGCTGGAGAGGGAGGGACTTGAGGAGCCCATCCACCGTCCTCCTCCTCCTTTTCCTTACTCCCATGGTGCCCACTCTCGCTTGTGTGTGTGTGTGGCCGTGTACGCGCGCCTGGCTTCTAAGGCTTTAATGGCCAGCTGTTTCCCCGCGAGGAGGAGGAGGGGGCGTGGCCATGGGTCTCTTTGTAGACATGCAGGTTCTCCTTTATGGACATGCAATTCAGAAGTGCTTTCTGCTTTTTGTTTTCATGGGGTTTTTTGAGTGGAGAACATACATTGGGTTGTTAGGTGTATTGTGTCCAAATTTGGTGCCAATTGCCCCAGTGGTTTTTGAGTTCTGTGAATACCACAAACGAACATTACATTTTTATTTATATAGATTTTATTTCCACTCCTTTCATGCCGCCTGCCACTCCTTCCCTGTTGCTGATAGTTCTGTATCAGAAATGAGAGCTGCTGAAGTCTATCCAATGCAATTTTCTGAATCAGCACCCCAAACCAAATCTAAAGTTGACCAAAAACTGATTCATAACCCTTTTGGTACTAATGTTGGAGAGTGATCCCTAGTCAAAGTGGTCCCTGGTCAAGTAGTCCCTGGTCAAGTGGTCCCTGTTCAAAAAAAAAAAAGATTGGGAACCACTGATTTAGAGGAACTCCATGGGTTTTGTAGGTGCTTCTTAGGGAAAAAAATACCCAGGAGTGTTTCCAGTTCCTTCTTTAGAAATTGAGCCTCCTGGACCTTAGTATTCCTTGGCAGTCCTTCTAGAATTGGAGAAGGTTCTCACTTCTTTTTTTGGAATGCGACTCCCAAAATCCTCTTGGTCATTTGAATAAGACCCCTTTCCCCATGCCTTGGAAGTTCAAGTCTGTAGTGTTTGAGGAAAGGAGACCAAGGCCAAATCCTGTATGTGTATGTGTACCTACTTATTGATACATGGCAGTTGCATCAATTCCATAGTGTTTTCTTGGGCAAGAAATTCTCTGAGGTGGTTTTGTCAGTTCCTTCCTCTGGAATAGAGCCTACAGCACCTAATAGTCATTGGCAGTCTCCATTCTTTTCTTTTTTTTAAAGAAAATATTGGGTTGCATAAGTAGAGTCTAACAGTATTAAAGAAACAAAATCAATACATAGATGTAAAAGAGATTGCATACTTTTCTGGTATAGCTCAATTGCTTCTCCTTTTTAATTCCATCTTTGTCTACTTATACCTTTCTCCTTATTTCTGCCCTCCCCCCAAACTCTCTGGGAACATTTATGATTCAGTTTTGGCTTTTATTCTATTTGCTGGATTGTGGATATGGTCTAATTTAGTTCCTTCTATTTTCTTTTTCCCTTCATTTTGGCTATCAGTTCTTTCCAATTCGAAACCCAGTTCCCCATATGATATTTGATATTTGTTTATATACTTTCAATGATATAATGCTGGAGAATATGGTCAGCTAGATATTCATACCATTTTACATTTCCCATCTTTTACATTCTTTCCATCCCAGCGCAACTGTTACTTGTGCCGCTCCTCTCATATATTTTATAATATTTCCAATATGTATTATAACTTTTATCTTCCATTTTTGTGGTAAAACAGTTTTGTCATTTCTGTTGACATCAGACAGGCGCCCTCTCTTATGGCTTTCCGTAAGAGCCTAAAGACCTGGCTATTCGAGAAGGCATTTAATTGAGAGCCATATGACTCTGGTAATGACATTCGGAACGGACTATGGATTATGAGATTGGCTATGATTCCATGTTGTGATGGCGCGGATTTTTTAGTGTAATTTAGATTAATGTGTAATTTGGTTGCTGATTTATTGTATGTTTTGTAGACTGTTTTTTACATGTTGTACACCGCCGCGAGTCGCCCCAGGGCTGAGAGCGGTGGTCAACAAATGAAGTAAATAAATAAATAAATAAATAAATTTTATTCAGCCCAGATATTGCTTCCAGTTCACCCTTTATTTTCCTAAAAATGTTGTGCTTTGTCATATTCCCACCACATATACATAAAGGTTCCTGCTTTGCCACATTTATGCCAACACTAGCCGTCCCATGCCACGCGTTGCTGTGGCCCACATGGAGGTTCTGTGTGGGAGGTTTGCCCCAATTCTATCGTTGGTGGGATTCAGAATGCTCTATGATTGAAGGTGAACTATAAATACCAGCAACTACAGTTCCCGAGTGTCAAGACTCTATTTTCCCCAAACTCTACCAGTGTTCACATTTGGACATATTGAGTATTCGTGTAGAGTTTGGTCCAGATCCATCATTGTTTGAGTCCACAGTGATCTCGGGATGTAGGTGAACTACGACTCCAAAACCAAAGGACACTGCCCACCAAACCCTTCCAGTATTTTCTGTTGGTCATGGGAGAACTGTGTGCCAAGTTTGGTTCAATTCCATCGATGGTGGGGTTCAGAATGCTCTTTGATTGTAGGTGAACTATAAATCCCAGCAACTGCAACTCCTGAATGTCAAGATTCTATTTTCCCCAAACTCTACCAGTGTTCATATTTGGACATATTGAATATTTGTGTAGAGTTTGCTGGGTTTTATAAAGAGCATTCTGAACTCCACCAAAAATGGAATTGAACCAAACTTGGCACACAAAACTCCCATGACCAACAGAAAATACTAGAAGGGTTCGGTGGGCACTGAGCTTGAGTTTTGAA